GTGGGCAGAGTATACCGGTATCTTGCTATAAAATAAGATGTACTCTGGCTGTAGGCCTACCTTTTGTTAAAAAACCTGAGACGTTTATGCAGTTTATTTCAACAATTTTCAGGCATACCTTCTTGATTCCCGAAAAGTGAGGTGGAACCAACCCTTTCTCCTTAAATATGTGGGGGGGGGGGGACGTGTTCCCCTTCCCCAGTGATCTGTGCCCATCATGAATCCGACAAGAGACCACATCACCTCAGCCCCAACATGGTTGGGGCTAGCCGGCTGAGACGCGAAAATTTTGAGAATATGGAGCTCTGGGTGCCAGGAAATTGCACTCTCATACCTTAAAAATCTTACCAATAATTCATATCAACAATAGAATAGGCCTACAACAATTACTTTTCTTAATAGAATTTAGTGGGGTGCGACCGCACCCTCTGCAGCCCCCCCCCCCTGCATCCGCCCCAGATAATCATAAATTTTCTTATCTTAGCCTGAACCTGGTGGACTGAGATGGTCTACATCCTCCTTCAGGGTACCCTTTATTTAAAATTCCTGGATCCGCCACTGTACTGTACTGGATTTGAATCTATACATAGCCGTCGGAAGCATTTTGCAAGTGGTCCGGCCATTATAGTCAAAGCGGGGGGTTGGGGAATAAACAAATTTTGTTGTAAAAGTTAGTAGGGTGCTGAGCATCCGCTATCAGCCTCATCATGGTTGTTGAACAAATTTTTTGCAACTCTGAATGCCCGGAAATAAATGCTGACAATTTGTAGAGCCGCTAGCCCCTCCCCTCAAAGAAATAAAATTAGCACTCAGATAGAGTCTATGTTGGAAATATGGTACCTCTGGATGCCTGGAAATACAAGCTGGAAAACCTGTATAGCCACCACCCCTCCCTATCCTGTCTATTGACAGACAATGATTTAAAGTTCGTGGGGACTAGAGATATACCCACCTCTGCCCCATATGTTTTTGGCCAAGGTGAGCAGATTTTGAAACTTAAGGCATCTAAATATAACTAAGCTATTGTTATGAAAATATGTAGTAGGCCTACAATATATACTGTACATCGTCAATTACTAAATTTATCTATATTGAAATATTTGCTCCCAGCGTACACTGTATTCCATATTCTAAGTTCCGTGGCATGAATATATCCCCATAGCAGGCTCGAGGGTGTGTGAATAATGTTCATGAGGTACTCTCCCATATATAATACTAATAGGAAGATTTTTTAAAGGGCATCATATTCTTACTGGTATGACTTAAGAACAAAATAGAGATAATAAAGGCCTATGCCCTGTACATGTTGCTAAAGAGTGGGCACAAAAGCATCCAGGTTAATAATGCTATATCTGGACACAAAATGTGGTAGCGTTGACCAAATTACAATTCGTAAGATTATTTAAATCATGGGAATAGACAAATGTAGGTCTACTGCGAAAATGATATACATTGTTCAAAATGCAATTAAGTTGCTTATTCCTCCATGAATAAATAAAGTGCAGGAAACACGAATATGTACAAGGAATAACAATGATAACTGTAATTATATTTACACGACGTGCAGTATTGAGAAATATTAACAATATGCAATTAATTAAATAGGCCTGGAACATGTTCTATGAATACACATGATACAGTATGAACTATCTATGGAAATACAGTAGGCGTCCTATGCCTACACAAATAACGTCGCGTTTCGACAAACTGCTCGTACAATTTAATTTACACTTACCAAATTCAGTCTGAAGCATAATCAATTATTTATCACGCTCCAGGTCAGTTATACTATCACTTGAATTGTTGAAATGTTGTAATTAAATCCTGTGTTTTCTTCTGGTAGACCTTACAGCGATTACACTCATACAGACCATGTAGATACCTCCATGTACAGATCTAACAGGTGATATAGACAGAGCACTAACATTCAAGATCCCCGAGAAAAATTAGTAGTTTCGATTTGGTATAGACTAATTAGGGTTGCTATATTTAGTCTTATAAAATAGTAATACTTCCAGAAAGCAAAGCTATATCTTCCCATTGAGCACGGGGATTAAAAAGCTGGGCAAAAATTTGATGGTTCTGGTTGTAGCGTATAGGCATGTTTGATATTGATTTAATTTTAGTTATCGTTGCTTTGCATTGCATTGGAATTGTTGATTTTGTCGGGTCGCCAACCCGTTACAAACCTCGACATCCCCCACCACCACTCGTCTGACACCACGACGAGGTCATCGGACTAAATTAATATTCAAATCCAATCAAAGACGTTATTATGATTGCATAGAAGAATTAAAGTAGGCGTGTAACCAGTCAGTGTATGGAACGCCGTTTTTGTCAAAGAACAGTAAAATTTAACTATACGTGTTAATAACAAGTGTTTGTGTCTAGTTAAAGGAGAAATGAAATAGGCGTATAACCAAGCAGTGTATGGAACGCCGTTTGTGTCAAAGGAAAGTAAAAGAGGTCTATACGTGTTGATAACCAGTGTTTGTGTGATATTGGAGGAGATTTAAAGTATTCGTCTAACCAGGCCTTGTATGGAACGTCGTTTGTGTCAAAGGACAGTTAAATTAGACTATGTATGTGTTGGTAGCAAGTATGTGGAGCGCTGTCGATGTCAAATAGAAGAACTATTGGACCAAATCTGTGAGTACGTGAAGTGAAGGCAACCTTCAAGATAATATACCTGCAGGGAATGGACTTTTGATCATAATTAAACATTTATACTGGACGTTATTTGTGCCTTTGTGTATGTTCTTAGGATTCAAATCCATGAATTGTACTGGGTATGTTTTACTAAAAGTTGTAATTATTATTGTTATGTGATTAAGCCCTTTATACATAGTATTTGATGTGTAATAGTTCCCATTGAGATACTGTATGATATAGTAAGCTTAACAATTTCGTATCTTAATTTTGTCTTGATTACTTGCATATATTTTAGTTTCTTATTCCGAACATTAATCATGTCCGTAAGATCAAGACCTGTCTCAGTGCGGTCATCACAGTCTGCAGCATCATCATTGGCTTTAAATGCTGCACAAGCTAGAGCTGATTTGGCGGTGGCTAAAGCTAGGGCAGAATTTAACAGAAGGAAAGCTGAAGCTAACAGAGCTAGGATTGAAGCAGAAGTAGAAATGGACAGGCTGCAGATAGAGCAAGCAGTGGCTGCTGCTCAAATACGAGCAGATACATTGGAAACGGAGTTGCAGCTGCTACAAAGTGATAATGAAGGCAGTGCACTATCTGAGCTTCCAGTAGACGAACCAGACCAGAGAGTAGTAGAGTGGAGAAATGAGGAGCCTGTTTTAAATGTAGTCCAGGAAGATACGGACACAAAATCTCCTGTTATATCACAACCAAGCCATCCAAGCCATAGTGAAAGTGCGTCCCATTTATTAACCGCAATTGGTCTCGGTATGAACATGCCGAAACCTGAAATTTCCACATTTGATGGAAACCATCTTGAATATTGGAACTTCATTAACATGTTTGAAGTCAATGTAGCAAGCAAAGCTATTGATGATAGATCAAAATTAACCTATCTTATACAATTTTGCGTTGGGAAAGCAAGGAACAGTATTGCCAATTGCGTGCTGTTAGGAGGTTCAGAGGGTTATGCTGAAGCCAAGCGTATCTTAAAAGAGGAATTCGGTCAGGCACATGTCATTGCAAAAGCTCATCTGAGCAAGGTGTTGAATCGTCCTCAAGTTAGGCCAAATGATGGTAAGGGACTATGGGACCTAGCTAGAGACATGCGCAGGTGCCAGACAGTTCTTTCCCAGATGTGCTATTCAGCTGATATGAATAGCTCAGAAACTCTCTTAAGAATTCAGCAGCTTTTACCAATCCACCTGCAAATGAAGTGGGCAAAGAAAGCCTATGCAATGATGGAGAAATTAACCACACCCGACTTTAAGTGTATGTCATCATTCGTCGAGGAGGTGGCCAAGTTAGCTAACAACATGTATGGCCAAAATATTGGAGGTTCGTATCCCAAGAATACACCTAAGTGGAAACCAAACAGCAAAGGGATAACAAGCCTTACTACAACCACGAGGCGTCCAGAAGTAAGTTTGACAACGGAAACAAGACTTACGTGCCCAGCCTGCTGTAGGAAGCCACAAGTTAGAAAAGTGTAGAGATTTCATCCGCTACTCACGTGAAGAAAGACTCAAAACCTTGAGAAAGGAGAGACTGTGTGATAATTGTTTTAGTGCCTCACACATAGCAAGAAGATGTTCAAAGCCATCACAATGTCAGCAAGGGTGTAAATGGAAGCACCACACACTGTTACATCGGACCGACGAAGAGCAGAAGGATACGGCGAAGACGACTACAGTAGGGCTGACCGGGGCCGGTGATTGCGGCTTGGCAACCATTGTTCCAGTCAATGTTAAAGCTAAGGATTCTGGAGTGATTCTGAACACGTATGCTTTATTGGATGAAGGCAGTAACTCATCATTTTGTACCATAGAGCTGTGTAGGAGGTTAAAAACGTCATCTAAGGCGAGATCGCTAAGGATATCAACTGTCAATCAGACTAGAAATCAGGATTGTAGGCTTTTGCAGGAGTTAGAGATAATGGACATGGATTGTGGAAACGTTATAAAGC